GGGGGGGGGAGGCGCCGCCCCCGCGAGTTCGTGCGCCCCATAACACGGCGATAACAGCTGCTCCACGCGACGGTAATGAGAAAGCGAAGCAGAGAGAGAGGGACACTGACTGTCGTCTTCCATCCACTTGCCGCGGCCGCGAGACACCCGCTTTTGCCACGCAACAAGTGATGCCATTTCTCGTTTCTCCGTCCGCCGCGCCACGACTGCGCTGCGGCTCGCGCGAGACCCCAAGAAGTGAGCGGGGGATGTGTTGGTGACGCGTGTATGACCGGGAGGGTAATTGGGCGTGTGTCCGCCTTTTGGTCCGCCTGCCCCGGCCGGGCGCGAGCAGCTCGGCGGGCAGCCGGAGGTAACGACTCGAGCGACGGAAACAAAAACGAAATAAAGGAGTGTGCGAAATGCATGGCAGGGCGAGGCTGGCGAGGGCCGCGGGAGGCGCCGCTGCCGCCGCCCGGGAGGGACGTTTCCGTCGTGTGCATGGGGCACGGGCGGGACGCCGTCGGTGGTGTGGCGGAGCGTGGCGACGGCCAAAGCAGCAGGGGCCGTACTTGTACCATACCCTGGGTTCAGGTAACCCTCCGCGCACCCAGGCGTTTTGTTAAAGCGAAGTCGTGTTTGCCTACCTCGGGCCTTCGCCTGCCCACACCGCACCCGCGGGCGCAGGCCGCACTGCCCTACATGCTGCCGAGCAGGAGACAAGGTCACGGCGGCTGGGCTGGGCGCCGCAGATTCAAAATTCAGGGGAGTGTGTGAGTGACCGTGCGTGTGTGAGTGCGTCGGGCCGACCCCGAGGCGAGTCAAGGTGAGGCGGGCACGGACGGACGGGGGCACATACTGCAAACGGGCTGCTACTTGGCAGTAAAGTGTCGCATCCGAGCCCGAGCTCGCACAACGACACGTCGCGAGGTACACACATGTCCTCGGCGGAGCGTCGGCGGCTACCTGGAGGATCCCCCACAAGGTGTCAACAAGACGGCGAGGTCAGCGCTCGGATATTTAATTGCAGCGCTAAGGGATTGCCCACCGCCTGCACCGACGTGGGCACAAGCCCAGCTCATAGAGTTGCTCATATCGTCTTTTACCTACATTTTGTTTTGCCACATTATCCTCTCTATGCTGTACCCCCCCCCCTCCCCCTTCTCCCCACTCGGTTCACATGGCACGTGCGTTTGAGTCACCGGCTGTTTTGATTTTAATAAGGAGTATCCGGACTGTACTCGGGTTGTTGTGGTACCCTGCCAAAACAAGCGGTAGTGGCACAACGGCTCGACGCGTTCGTTTTATCAGTGGACACTTCGCACGATTGGCCTACGCTGGTCGCTGCTAAATGGGGCTGAGCTCGCACTCGCTCGGCAAATGACGACTAGCGCCCTTCGCAGACCCGCGCGTTGTCAAAGAGAGAATACCATGAACGGGTGAGTAACCCATGCAGGCACCGAGTCAGCAGATTACCGCTCAGGCGCATGGTACACTGGGCGCCACTGGGTACCCATCAGTCCATTGTTGTTGATAGAATTTCTCAGAGGTCCGCCCGTCTCAGCAGCAGGCCGCCGCTAGCCCCCCCCTGCCCCCCTCCCCCTCGGCCGTTACGAGGACCGCCCTTTTGTCTCCACAACACATTCGATCCTTTTCTCTTTCGTAATAATCCACTTGCTACACGGTGACCTAAGAATAACGGGACACCGCGTTTCATAAGTACCCTTATTACTTTGTCTTCAATCTCGCTCTTTTTATAAATTTACTGCTAGTGAAATAAAACACACTTAAAAAAGAAAAATGGCAACCAAGCTGCTAGACGCGTTTGTAATTCCCGGGCTCTTCGCTGTCGTCTCGAGGCCCCGTCCCTTTCGTCGCGCCGCTGGTTGGCGATCGGCTTTCCTCCTCCTTGGCGTGACCAAGCAGGGCATTATGCAGGACGGGAAGTGGGTTATCAGCTGCGGCGCGCCGGTCGGGCCTGTCTCTAATCAGCTGGTGCAGGAGGCAGGGGCGTCCGGGGGTGGTGGGCGGGAGTCCCTCCCGGGCCCCGGCCGCGTCCTTGGATGCCGCAGGGCCCGCAAGGCCGACCGCTCCGCACGCGGCAAGACAGGACGGCTGCAAAGGGGGCTCGATGCAGGGGGCGAGGACACGCGGGAGTTTTAAAGACGTGCGGTGTGCGGGACGACCGGATCGAGGCTCCAAGGAGGAGCAAGCGCCCTCGATACGTTGACTATCGACTCTCCGGACCCACACACCCTCCGTGTCGGTCCGATCCGGAAGGCCTGGCTGCTCTGCTCTCCGTCGAGCTGGATCCAGTCCAGGCCCACCCATGCGAGAAGCTCCTCATCGCTGCGCGACCTTGGCGACCTTGACGGCGAGGAGGCGCGACGCGACGTGGACGCAGACCGCACAACACAAGCCGAGGGTGCGGCGGAACGACTGTCGGCTTTTGTCTCGGGGGCAGCCCCTCCCTCCCCTCTATAAACAATATCCAATCAATCGGAATGGGCTTGCGCGGCAGATGGGCTCGGCAGCGAGGCCGTAGCACCGTGCGTCAGGCGCAGCCAAATAATGCATCTCCTTCCAACAAAAAGATTTAGAAAAAAACAACAACATCATAACGACACTCATTTTCTTTGCTTCCAGTGCGTGGCGATTGTGTGCATGATCTACAAGCGCATCTCCGACTGGGAGGCCTTCCAGATCTTCTTCCTGCGCCAGAAGTTCTCCGACGAGTGGCCGCTCCTCAACACGATCACGTGGGACAAGAACGGCTCCATCTACGCCGACATCACGTACGGCGCGTTCGTCATCGCGCTAGCCGCCATGCTGCTCGCCTACCTGGCGGGGCAGCTCGACAAGACTCCCGTGCTTGTGAGTATTATATCAAGGAGGGCGTGTGTGGGGTGAGCGGGTGAAGGAGAAGGGGTAGTTTTTCTTGTTTTTGGTACCCGTAACCGGCTTGTTGCGGTTGGCCTACACCTCGTGTCTGCCCGGGGACCAGCCCGCGTCCGAAAGGAAGCTAGTACGTGCCAAGTGGAGTGCGGTAATGACACTTCATCGTCAACGTGAATCACACGACTGGCCAAGGCCTGCCTGCTTGGCCGCCGGCTCAGCCGTGTGAACGTGGCTGAGCTGGGCCCGGCTGGGCTCGGCTGGGCCCGCGGCCGCAGGGCCATTCATGCCCCTGGCGCCCTGCCACACGTGGGCGGGGCGGGGCGGGGCGGG